TAGGGAAGGAAAAAAAAATCACTGCATCTCATCATTATTGAGGTGTTTTTAATTTTCAGGTTTTTTAAAAGACAGTCTTGCTCTGTCATCCATGCCAGAGGGCAGTGGCATGATCCTGACTCACTGCAACCTCTGCCTCCCAGGTTCAAGTGATGCTCGGGCCTCAGCCTCCTGAATAGCTGGGACGACAGGCAGATGCTACCACCACACACCATCAATTTTTGTATTTTTACTAGAGATGGAATTTCTTGATGTTGGCCAGGCTGCTCTCAAACTCCTGGCCTCATGTGATATGCCCGCCTCAGCCTCCCAAAGTTCTGGGATTCCAGGCGGGAGCCACTCATGCTTGGCTCAAGCTGTTTTTAAAAGGAGGATATACCCTGGTTCGCTGCTTTGTAGTTTCCCCAGTCTCAATTTGATGAGAAAATAAGACCACTAGAACAGGGGGAAAAAAAATTGAATTTCATCAAAATTAGAAACCTCTGCTTTCAAAAGTAACCATTCAAAGTAAAATAACAACCAGGAGCAGTGGCTCACACCTGTAATCCCAGCACTTTGGGAGGCTGAGGGGGGTGGATTACGAGGTCAAGAGTTCGAGACCAGCCTGGCCAATATCGTGAAACCCCATCTCTACTAATAATACAAAAAAATCAGTTAGGCATGATGGCCCAGGCCTGTAATCCCAGCTACATGGGAGGCTGAGGCAGAAGAACTGCTTGAACCCGGGAAGCGGAGGTTGCAGTGAGCTGGGATTGTGCCACTGCACTCCAGCCTGGGTGACAGAGCGAGACTCCGTCTCAGAAAAAAAAGTAAAAGAGCAAGCGAGAGACTGAGAAATTATTCACAACATATCTGAGAAAGGACTCATACCCAACATAGGAAGAAGTCTAAGACCAGGCTGGGCATGGTGGCTCAGCCGCCTGTAACCCCGGCACTCTGGGAGGTGGAGGCAGGTGGATCACTTGAGACCAGGAGTTCCAGACCAGCCTCGGCAGCAGAGCAAGACCCAGTCTTTTTTTTTTTTTAAATTGGCAGAGCATAGTGGTGGCATGACTATAGTCCCAGCCTCTCAGGAGACAGAGGTGGGAGGCTGCAGTGAGCATATCCCAACACTGCACTCCAGCCCGGGCAAGACGTAAGGTCCTGACTCATGAAGAAGGCAAGGCTTCCAAGACCCAGTTTTTTAAACTGGAAAAAGAATCAAGTAGGCTCTTCCCTAAGGAAGATACCCATATGGCCAAGAGCACACCAAAAGGCGCTGGGCCTGTCACCAGGGTGAAACGAAACAAAAAATCACATGTATTTAGCTGTCTTTTGTTACTGATTTCCTCAGTTGCACTCTCGCCAAAGAACGTGATTTCATGACTTATCCACACAGTGTGTATTTACCTCTACGCTACCTTCTGCAAACGGCTGACATGCTTGGGGTCCTAGTACACAGTCAACGTGAAAACATTGCACGTGTGCTTGAGTAGGTCCAGCGTTGAACTGCACTGCCCAATCTTTCCTGTTCTTCATCAGTAATCTAAGCCTCTGTCATAGGGACCTAAGACAGGAGCAAACTGAACACGAAACAGGTGGAAGAAAGGAAGTTTCTAAGAATAAAAAGAGCAAAAGTCAGTGAAAAACAATAGAAAAAAAAATCAATGAACCCAAAAGTAGGGCTTTCTGTGGAAAAATATCTGCAAAAATGATAAATTCTTAGTCTGAGCGGGGGAAAGAAAACACAAATCACCAACAGCAGGAATGGGAGAAGAACATCCCGGCTGGGCACGGCGGCCAGGATTACGCCTGTAATCCCAGCACCTTGGGAGGCCAAGGCGGGCAGAAAACCTGAGGTCAGGAGTTCGAGAGTAGCCTGACCAACATGGAGAAACACAGTCTCTACTAAAAATACAAAAAAAGTTAGCCAGGTGTGGTGGCGTGTGCCTGTAATCACAGCTATGGGAGGCTGAGGCGGGAGAACTGCTTGAATTGGGAAGCGGAGGTTGCGGTGAGCTGAGACCGCACAGTTGCACTCCAGTCTGGGCAGGAAGAGTGAAACTCTGTCTCAAAAAAAAAAAGAAAATGAACATCATTGCACAGTAGAGAGGAAGACACTGAACAACTGATGTAAATTGTTTTGATAACTTAGATGAAATTCTATGACAAATCTATCATTTAAAAAATGACAAAGGAAGAAACAAAATCTAAAAGTCTCATGTCTATTTTTTTTTTTCTTTTTGAGATGGAGCCTCGTCTGTTGCCTAGGCTGAGTCCAGTGGCATGATCTTGGCTCACTGCAACCTCCACCTCTTGGGTTCAAGTGATTCTCCTGCTTCAGTGTCCGGAGTAGCTGGGATTATAGGCACGCATCATCACGCCTGGCTAATTTTTATATTTTTAATGGAGATAGGGTTTCACCATGTTGGCCAGGCTGGTCTGAAACTCCCGACCTCAGGTGATCCATCCACATTGGCCTCCCAAAGTGCTGGGATTACAGGTGTGAGCCACTGCACCTGGTCTCATGTTTACTTTTAAAAAATCAAGTTCGTAATGAAACACCTGAGCAAAAAGAAAATGGCAGGCAGAGATGCCTTCACCCATCAAATCTCTATGGAACAAATAATGCCGCTCCTTACAAACCATGACAAAATTGTTTCAGGCCAACTTAATGTGGTATCAAACCCTGACAGACATTCACGTGACAAGACAATGAAGATCAGCATCCGGGGTCCCTCATGAGCGTTCATACACAGGAGGTCCTCAGCCCAGCATGAGCAAATCTTACCAGGCCACGTGGAGAACAATGCAACACGGCCACAGGGACCTACCCAGAAATGCCAGGTCATCTTGTGCTTGAGTACAAGCTTTAAATCTTGGCTGTCCCTACCTGTGTGAGATAAACATGGGAACCACACTCCAACCGGACTTGAGCAAAGTCGGCGGTTCACCAGTCATGCGGGAAGCAAGCCACCTCCTGAGCATCTCACTAGGTGCACGAGAGGCAGCCGGCCACATTCAGCACGGATTCGGGGAAAGCCCTCGGCAAACGCGGAACCTCTCCCACCCGTGGGTGCAGTGAAAACCCGCCGCTGAGCCGGGAAGATACCTGCAAGCGTAGCGGAAGCGTGTTCCTTTTTGTGCTGTACTCCATTGTGTGCCTGTCCCGTGCTCTGTTTTTAATGCACTTTACCACGGGTGGGTATTTGAGTTGCTTCCTTTCTGCGGTTTAACACCCAGTTGGAAACAGTTGTGGTGAACAGTGTGTGTGTGTGTCCGTGTCCATTTTCACTGAGACTGGGAATAAGATAAGGAAGCACCAGCTCACCTCACCCGGGCAGTGAGAAGCTAAGGCACAGACTGCAGAGGGGAAGCAGAGCCACGGTGAGAGGACACACGTGCGCACACGGAAACCCTAAGTCCACAGAAATACCGCCACGACCAATACAGGACTTTAGGGCACAGGATTAAAGCACGAGACAAGTGAGAAATGAAACAAAACACAGTCCTCAATAGCACACGGAACACCTAGGAACACATCGAATGGGAAGCGGCTGGACGCAGGCACAGAGAACTCCAGTCCACTGCTGGGAAGTCAGAAGAGCTAAATGCTGCAGCCACACGCAGTCACCGCTCGGAAGGCTGGATGCTGTTCAGATGCTGCCTCTTCCCAGCGTGTATTCAAAACATTCAGAAAAGGTATTCAAAAATGCGCCCAAGGGAATGGCTACTGAAATCCCAGAAGGCTTTTCCTGGTAGAAATCGAGAAGCTGATTGTAAAATGTATACAGAAACACCAAGGACATAAACAGCTGTAAGAATCTTTAAAAAGAAGAGCTGGAAAACGCACACCGCAGGGATTCAGGGTTTACCACAAACCCGACTGTAGCCATGACGATGTGGTGGCCGGGGGTCATGGTTCACACCTACAACCTGGGCCCAGCCCCCCAGGCCTGTCATCCCCACCCACAAGACTGTGAAGGCCCCAGGGCTGTGCCCTGCATGTGGGTTCCTGCATGGAGATCCCGGCAGACAGTGCTTCTTTGGGCGTCTGAGTGGACGATCACCCCAGCCCTGCCTGAGAGGGACAGCGTGGTGGATGCTATGGGGAGGCCTGATGAGGCTCCTGTGCTGAAGGGACACAGGGGTGCTGCTGGGGCCGGCGCACTAGGCCAGGAAGGTCACCCGCCCCGGATGGAGTCCACGTAGAAACAGGCACCCACATGCCGTAACCTGGGGCCCTCCACCCGATGTGCCAACTCCCAGCATGCCTCCTTTAACCTCGACCTTTCTTAGAAATGCTAGCTGAGTGGACGCTCGCGTTTGGCAGATGTCAAGTCAAGCCAAGATCCAGCTGCAGCCAAACCCAATATGCCTGGTGGGGCCTCTTCCAGGCTCAGAAGTGGGAACTACGCTCCAACCTGGACTTGGGCAATGCCCGGCCCATCAGCTGTGGTCAGGGGAAGGCCTTGGTGGCTGTCCCTACCTGTGTGAGATAAACATGGGAACCACACTCCAACCGGACTTGGGCGATGCCCGGCCCATCAGCTGTGGTCAGGGGAAGGCCTTGGTGGCTGTCCCTACCTGTGTGAGATAAACATGGGAACCACACTCCAACCGGACTTGAGCAATGCCCGGCCCATCAGCTGTGGTCGGGGGAAGGCCTTGGTCCCTATCCCTGTGAGATGGAGCATTTACACAGCACACTTAGGAGCATGGAGGCCCTGCGGATTCACTGGGGTCTCCCAAGCTCCCTGAGCTGCAGAGGTGAGGAGACCTGAAAGATGCTGCCCCAGGCCAGTCTCTGACCCTCCATGGGACCAGGCACTCTTCTCTGCCATCTTCCCCTCAGCCTCAAGCGCTCTTGGCTTTAAATCAGGCCGGGCTGTCACACGGGAAAAGGTGGCTGGCTGCAAAGGCGCATGGGGCACAGAGGGGAAGCTGGTTGTGGTGCGACCCCTTCACAAGCACTGGCTCCAGCCTGAGCCACCAGGACACTCAGTGACCAGCCAACAATGGGTGGTTTAAATACTGCACTATAATTTTTAAGGACTCTGTACATAGAACTTCCAGTGGCAGACGTGTAAGATTTTTTTCTGTAACTGTGTTGTTTTAGCAGAGAACTGGCAGACCCACAGTGGGTAGACATGGAGGTCCTCCCGGGGCGGTGACTGCCACGCTGATGCTGAGCGGAAGCCAAGCCCCCTCGGTCAGAGCTAGACCGATCTCAGACCTTGACGTGACCACCACCAAGTCCTGTGTCGGGACAGCAGCGGCTGCAGTCCCCAGAAACAAGCCTTCCTGCTGCGACACCTGTGCCAGCCCCAGCCACCCTTGAGGCGGGCTGTACCCTCATGGTGGGCTGTCCACGGGAACGCCACGGCCAGGAGTCCACGCCCCCCGCCGGGCTGGCTCCCGACACCTTCACAGCTCGTTGTGCCGGGCTCTGGAGATCCTGCTGGACAGGTCCTGGAGATGCTTCTTCACCTGGGGACAAAAACGCCTCATGAGCTGGGGACAGAACGCCTCGAGGCCGGCTCTGTGGGCTCAGTCACGCCGGGAGCTGCGCGATCCAAAAGGGCACCAGCCCGATGCACCTGACTTTCCAATGATGAGCCCATCCAGAAATGCTCACGGATAAATCGCAGAAGCAGCTCAACACCAACTAGGAAACCCCCCACCAAGAACGCTAGGAACGACCAGCCAGCAGCACTTCCTGCTAAAGAGGAAAGCCCAGGGTCTCTGTGATCCGCCCATGCTGTTATTTATTTGTGAGATAGGGTCTGGCTCTGTCACCCAGGCTGGAGTGCAGGGGCACGATCTCAGGTCACTGCAACCTCCGCCTCCCAGGCTCAAGTGATCCTCCAACCTCAGCCTCCCATGTAGCTGGGACCACAGGTGCACAACACCACGCCTGGCTCAGCCTCTCATGTAGCTGGGACCACAGGTGCACAGCACCACACCCAGCTAAGTTTTTGAATTTTTGGTAGAGACAGGTTCCACCACGTTGCCCGGGCTGGTCTTGAACTCCTGAGTTCAGACGATCCACCCGCCTCAGCCTCCCAAAGTGCCGGGATTACAGGTGTGAGCCTGTCATGAGCCGAAACAATGACTGGGAGGACTGGACTGGGACAGGGCTCTGGGAAAGGCACCTGGGAGGGAAGGAGAGGGACCTCTAGCTCCTCACACCATAGCGGCACAGAGCCTCCCCAGACACCATCCCAGTGGTGGTGGGTGCCCTGTCAGCCCAGCCTGGGTGGGGCTCACTGTGGCTCCCCAGATTCTCACAAACCCTGCTCATGGGCACCTCCTCCCTCTCCACAGGAGCCCGCAGCTCAGGGCCAGTAACTCACCAAGGTCCCTCCTCTCAGCTGCCCTCTGACCTCTGCCCACCCGGGTGGGGTCTCAGAGGCAGCACCACACAGCTTTGCTAACCAACACCGTGCTCTGCTGTGGTCAAGTGAAGCCAGGTGCAGGCTAACCTCCCATCCTTGCGTCTTGGAGGCGCCCTGCAAACCCCCACATGGTGGTGCCCACCCCGGACCTGAGCTCCTGCCCACGGTTGGGTGCTGGGCCGCAGGCTACTTTCTGGCGCGTTCCGCCGGCAGACCCACACCACCCTCTCCTATTGGAACCTCTGCCTTCATTTATTTTTCAGGCCTTTCCTATTTCTGAACTGGTAACACATGCCTGCAGTTTAAAGTTTAAAAGGTACAGATGGGGCTCCCACGCGCCCTGACCCCCAGCTACCCAGCTCCATCCGGAAGGCACTGGCATGAGCTTCCAGGTTTCCAGCCTCTGGGGGGGCTCTGCTCCCCCTCTCCTCACATCTAACCTGGGGCTGTGGGGAAGGGGCTCGCCAGTCTCAAGGGCTGGAAAGTACCCTGACTCGTGGCTGGCTGTGGGCATCCATCCTGGTCACAGCAGAGGACGAGGCAGTGGCCTGCCCAGGCCTGCGCTCACATCTGGGGTCGCGGGGCTGCACTTGACTCGATCGATGCCCGCAGAGCGCCCCACACACCTGCAGCCCCGGGGTTCAACCCGGACAGAGAGACCACGGCGTGGAGCCCACACCCTGTCCAGGGGAAACCCTGTCTTCCCGGTGAGGGAGCTGTGGCCTCCCCAGCCCCGGACACTGCGCGCACCGTGTAGCCCAGCTCCTTGGTCCGCCCCTCCAGCAGGGCATGCTTCTCGCGGCTGCGGCTCACACGCTCGCCGTCGCCCACACTCTCCGCGTGCCTCAGCTTCTCGTGCGCGATCTCCAGCTGCTTCTGGTAGTGGTTGTGCTTCTCGATTTTGGCTTCAAAGTGCTTGAGCTCCTCCTGGAAGAAGGTTCCCACTGGTGAGTTTTCCCGCCCTATGCTCGCCATACCATCTCGCGGTCCTGGGTAAACAAGGGATGCCAACGGACCCCAAGGGATGATGCCGTCCCCAGGGCAGGACAGGCCTTGCAGTGACATGGACAATGAGGGGGTGGCAGCTGGGAGACCATCAACCCAGCAATTGGGTCCCAGCCTGAGCCTCCTCGGCAGCCCTAAGCTGGCCCATTGCCCATCTGGGGACCTCCGGCTTGTTCTTGGCCTGACCCCACGTCCAGTTGCTGTGCCTCCACTGCCCAGGCGGCTGACCCTACACATACCTGTGCTTCTGCTGCAGCTGCTCTGCACCTGCCCTAGCCTGCCTGGGCAAGCCCTCGGCCGGTCTGCAGCTCCTGCAGGCACCCTGCCCTGCCTTGAACCCTGCACCCGACCCAGGGCCCCCAGCTCCACCCTCAGAAAGATCCGGCACTCCATACGCCCCAGGAGCCCCTGCCACCTGAGGTGGTCTCCTTCCCTCCCTGGGTCCCCGTCTCAGGAAGCCGTGATACCCCCAAAGGATCGCTGTTATCCTTGGTCCCCTCCCCCCATGCTGTGGCCGAGTTCCGACCAATCCTTGACCATCCACAGGACCCACACCAAGCCCACGCTCAGACATGAATATGCACAAAGGAACCAAGGGCCTCCCTCCAGGCTGTGGCCCCACCTCTGAAACATGAGGTCCCGTGCAGATAAGAGCAAAACAGGTTCATGAGTGGTTAAGGAAGAAACTGCAAGGGCATCTTCACCACAGGAGAATGTGACAGGAGAGGGCTGTCTCCTTACCCGGAGCGCCTGCAGCTCCTTCTCGGTGAGGTTGGCGGACTGCGCCAGGTCCCACAGGTCAATCACCCTGGGCTCCTCGAACTCTGCAGGGGAGGAGCGAGAGTGGTCTCAGCAGTGCCCAGGTGCACGCCCCAGCCAGCCCTGTGGGAAGTGCACGTGGAGCCTGTGAGGGTGTGCAGGCCTGTGTGTGAGGCGGGCACACATGCACTGAGAGTCCTACGGGGCACAGGGCGCCTGCTGTGTACTCATGTGATCTCACTGAAATGTGGCTTCCCTGCCCCTCAGACAAGCGACCACTTCTCCTTTGTGTCCAGAAACACCTGTCTGCTCCAGAGCCTGGGAATCGCCACAGCCTGCCTGGCTGCCTCTGAAGCAGTTGGTAGAGGGTGGAGGGCAGCCTGCTGGAGAGGCCCCAAGTTCACCCAGGTCCGGAGGGAGGTACAGGGAGAGCCAGGCAAACTAAGTCGGCTCCAGGACCCTGTGCTCACGAGGGGATGTGGTGGGAGACGCCGGGGCTGTCACCCCTCTCCATCCAGGAGCGAGTGGCTCGGAGCCACCTGCCCAGGGAGCCCTGCAAGAGTGGCCCCGTTCCTTCCTCTGCTGACCCTTCCTGCTCAGTACCAAGGGCCCAGGACTGGCAGGGCTTGCTGGAAGGCCCAGGCAGACCCGAAAGAGAACTGCAGGAGGTGCTGGGTGCAGCTGCCTTGGGGACAGCCCGAGGTGGGAGAGGAGTGTGTGGGGCCGAGTCACCCTTATTGCATGGACTGTAGCCAGGCTCACGTGGGTCTCTCTAACACAGGCACTCGGTGAACTGCACAGTAGCCTATGGGGTGGTACAGCACCCCCACCACGGCCAAGGCCTCCTACTGACACCATTACCAGCACCAGATCGAGCTGAGAGAGCCCGGGTTTGGGGGTGGGCGGTGAGGGGTCCCGCCCAAGAGCATGCAGGTGACACAATTGATTGCCATGCTGGAGGCTGCCTCTGGCCAGGCCTTGCAGGTGCCATCCTGGAGAGGAGGTGGTGGCTCTGGCTGGCACCGGGGTCAGACACCAGCCCCGCTGTCTTGTCATCATGAGGGCACAAATGCATCTCTTGGTGGCGGCTGCCTCCTCCAGCCTAGAGCAGGGCCTGGCACGCAGGCAATGCTCAGTGTGCTCCTGGAGGATGAGGAGCAGAATCGGAAGCTGTGTGAGGGAGGCCGGCAGGCTGCTGTAAACCCTGCTCAAGGCTCGGGCCTGGGTCCTGGGCAAGAAGCAGTGGCACAGGGCCCGGCCACCCAGGGCCTGCGGTGCAGGCTGACTAAGCTGCTGAGATAGAGCCACGTGCTCTGTGGCCTGATCGGGTGCCCTGTCCCTGCAGAGCTGAGGGGGACTAACAGACAGTGCGGGTGGCATGAGATGGACACAGAGCTGTGCTTGACAAGCGGTCTCTGTTCTCAGCCAACAACAGAATGGCAGGAGGCTCGATGCCGGGGCTGGGGAGACGCTAGGAGGGGCTGCTCCCGGGCCCACCGCTGCCACCACCCTCTGCCAGTCTCCAGGAACAGGGCCCAGGACGGTGAGTGGCCTTCATGGAGCAGCTGCTGGCAGTGAGCCCTGTGACCACACCTGGGTAGACAGTGCACCAAGGGCCTCCGCTGCGCCCACAGGTCCAGGTGCCCGTGGTTCCAAGCACTCGCCTGCTCGACCCCAAAACACAACCAGAGACAGCCCCGTCCTCAGGAAGCGACAGTCCTGGCGGGCACTCACCAGCCTCGGTGTCGTAGCCCTGGTGGCTGAGCCTGCGCAGGCGGTCCAGGCCCTGGTTGATGCTGTGCAGCCGCTCCTTCAGCTCCATGTGCCTGCTGTGCAGGACGTCGCCCTTGATGTCGCTCAGGTCTGAGGGGCTGATGACGTTCTCGTGGATTTCTGTAAAACCCGGGGCAGGACCCATGAGGCTGGGACCCCTCACCCTGCCCACCCAGAGCACCATCTAAAATGCCCACTGCGGGGGAGCTCAAACTTGCTCTCATTTCTGACTGACAACGTCCCCCCTTCTGCAGTCCAGCAGTGCCACAGAAATGACCACCGGGACCGCTTCCTTTCCACGCTGCAACACACGCCAAGTGGTGCCTTCAGTGATGACTGGGCAATCAGGACCCCTGGGGGCTGATTCGGGATCCTGCCCCCACCCCCTCTGCTGGGTCACCTCCTCCATTTTACTCCAACATTGAAGGGTGGGAAAGGCACTATTTGGGGAGGGTCCAGAGTCCAGAATGAAGGACCCATCAGTGAAGCTCAGGCCTGGCAAAGGCGGCAGCTGTGCCCATGGTGGGGACAGGCACTGGTAAGACTCGGTTTATCCAACCAAACGCAGGCGGGCGACGCTCAGAACCGGCCCTGCCCGCACCGCAACCTCCCACTCACGAGTCTGGTGGGAACCCTGGGAGACGGCGTCCGGTGCCTCCTCCCTGCCAGCCGAGCGCAAGCCCCCGCGTGCAGGAGGGGCCGGGGAGGGAGCACCTTCGGTCCTACTCAGGGTGTCCAGCAGGACGTTGTACTCCTGGACTTTCTCTTTGTGATGCAGGAACTCCCGCCAGAGCTTGTCCAGCTCTTCACTGGAGAATTTCCCAGAGGTCTTTGCCTAAGGGGGAGACAAGGCCTAGAGTGAAACCTGCCCTGGGCTCCTGTGGCTGGGGCCGCTCATCAGCTGACTACTCCCCCGGCCAGGCAGGCCCTTGCCCACGTGTGAGTGCTGGGCCCGGTTCTTGCCCTCACAACCCTCCTGGGCAGGAAAACAAAAAACAAACTGGGGAAGAGCTGCTGGCAGGCAACCGCCGTCCTCTAAGACGTGTCCAGGCTCAACGGGGATGGCTACGGAACTGGTTGGGCGGGGAACAGATCCCAAGGAGGGGACAGGGTGGCAGCCCGGTAGTCCACAGGCTCGCCCGGCTCTCCTGGCTGTGGGTGGTGAGGAGACCAAGGCCATCTTCCTAGGGGGACCACTGCCAGCCCCTCACTGTCATCCCACCTGCCTCTGGTTGGGGGGTGACGTGGATCACACATGTCCAGGGAGGCCAAAGAGGACCCGCTCTCCCTCTCTGCCCACCTCCACTGACTCCACCTTTCCTGGCTGAGGACAATGAGCTGTAGCTGGGCTGGGATGAGAAGTCCAACTCTTGGCCCCAAATCAACACGATCCAGACACACTGTTCTGCAGCAGAAGCTGCTGGAAGTGGGGGAGCTGAAGCAGGTAAATGCCCTGCCATGGCCTACCAGGTTCCAGGGCCTGGCCCCACACCAGCACCCCACACCCTTCCCAGGCACAGGGTGAAAGCCCAGCCCTACACACCATCCCCTGGCCGAGGGCACCTTGCTAATCACAGAGGTAAGTGCACAGCACCACTCACTAAATCGAAAACACGAGTCAACAGCTCAGCCCATGCTATGTCATGACCCCGTAACTACACGTGATCTGAGCTGAAGCTCTGACAGCTGCCAAACAGAACTCCTTACTGAAAGAGCAAGGGATTTTCTAAACAGGGAAGCTGAAGACGTGCACAGAAAGACGGTAGAACGGCTTCCTTAGGAAACCACTGTCTTCCTGAGACTCCCCCAAGCCCCGGCTCCCATGCAGAGCAGAGACCGCCCCTCACAGCCCCCACCTTAACACTCGACATGACGGCACAGATTCTGCAAGATATGGAAATAATCGAGGAGTACCTTGTGCCACAACTTTTCCAGCCTGGGGTCATCCAGCCCGTCTTCCTGGGTGTCACTGAGAGAGTTGCTGGTCACCTGCCGAGTGTCCTTCTTCCCGTCCAGACCATATTTGGCCAGGATGACTAGGAGAGAGGGGAGGTTCTATTTGATATGGTTTCCTGTGAAAACCAGCCCACAGCCAACACAGCTGGGCTGCCACAGTGGGTGAGACAGGTGTGCCTCTCATTTGTCAGAAGTTTCCTGGATGACCACTGAGGATCTGGCAGGAACAAGAACGTAAACAAGCGTGGGGACTGCGGTCTCCCAGGGCTTAGGGACAGGTCTGGTGACTCACGGGACACCCCCGCTGGACTCCTCCACCAAGCTGTGTCTCTCTGGACGTGGCTGTCGGAAGCGGCTGGGGGCTTGGGCGCCGCCTGTCTTTGCAGACCAGTGGCACAGATTTTCAAGAACAAAATCTGTAGCCTCACCTGTTGCCATGGGGCAAACTCTAACGACCACAGGGCAGAGGCCACCTGCAGTGTGCAGGGTGACGGGCTTTCTGATAGCCCACATCTTATTTTTATTGGGAGGAAAAACAGTTTCTAAAGGAGAAACTTCAGTGTCAGCAGCTTCTAACTAAGTTACTGGCAGCAGCCAGGAAGATAATTAGTCTGCGGCGTGCAGTGGCCCAGCCACTTGGGGAGGCCTCTAGGATCTGCTCATGTGGGGCTCCCCAGCCCCACTTCCCCAGGGGCCTCAGCATCTGTGGGCTGTGTCTGTCACCACACGCTGCCACCAACACGGCATGAAAGCAGGTGCTGAACATGGGCCCTGGTGCTGGCAGCACTTGGCTGTGGACAGGTCTGGTGCTTGGGACAGGAGAGCAGAGCCTGGGGGCTGGCCTCCCCTCCACCGGAAAGCTGCTCTCCTGAGGCCCAGTTCCCACTTCCAAGGCCCTCGCTGTGGCTCTGTGCGATAGGCCCTCCATGAGGTCCCCCGGGTCTGGAGCCTGTGCAGCCCCACCTGCCTCCTTAGCTGGTGGTGGGCCTTTCTGCCCTTTCTTGGGGGCTGGAGGAATTCTCCCAGGGCCTCACCTCCCATAGAACTGGGTCCTGCCTTCCCCTCCCGGCTGAGAGGGCCTCTCCCAAGCTCCTAATCCCACCTTCCCAGAGGAAGGGCGTGGAGCCTTCCTTCGCCTCACACTGCCCCCCCAACTCCGAGGACCTCTCACCCAGGTGGACTCCTCTGGGCCTTCACCCATGATCCTACTGGACAGAACTACTCCCAGTGGGGCCTCCACACGCTCCGGGCTCAGCAGGCCCCACCCCTGTGCCTCTCCCAAGGGTCCATCCTGGGTCACTGCCAGCCCCAGGGAGTGTCCCTGCCCCAGGAACACCCCAGAAGCCTCAGGCCTCCTTTCTCATTGACACTGGCCAGGCCTCGGATCTCTCCTGTCTCATTCCATCCAGAAGCCTGGGCCACAGGGGTGTCCGGGCCGGGCCGGGCCGGGCAGCGTGTGCTCCTCGTATTCCAGCTGGAAGCACTCATGATCTTCCTAAGTCTGAAAAACCAGCCTGTGGTCTTCCTACTGCAGAAAGCTGCCTCTCCTGACAGCCATCAAGAGCTGCCAGCGTTGGGCACGGGTCCCGTGGACGCATGCTTCAAAACTCAATCCCCTGCTGGGTCATTCTTCGTGGCAAGGAATTTATGTCAGAAATAACCATTTCAGGCCGGGCTGTCCGAACCCAGGAGTTCAAGACCAGCCTGGGCAGCAAAGTGAGACCCTACCTTTAAAAATAAACAAACAAACAAATAGTACCGGCGGTGGGGAGGGGAAAATGACTAAATACATACATGAGAACACACGCTGTTTAAAAAGGTGGCCTGGATGCCTCCTGGCCTCAGAACTGGTGCTGCCTGTGAGTGAGGGCCATCCTGCCAGACCGCGGGCAGCCACTGCCCAGCAGCACTGAGGTCACAACCCTGGGCTGTGCACTCCAGAGCCCGAGAGGAGATGGGAGACAGGGAGGGTGGGCCATGTCCTCGGGCTCCGTACAAATCCAAAGTGGCTGGTCAGACCCCATCAAAAGGCAGAATGCCCAGGGCTGCAATCAGCAGCAGAGACTAGGGAAGGTTCTGGATTTTAGAGGTGCCGGGTTCTGCAAGGAATGGTCAAAGAGCACTGAAGCTGGAGGCGGCCTCAGGAGCACTGAGCCCTCAGAGCTCCTGTGGAGGACGGACCCCGCCCCACACTCCCCCCACACTTCCTGCCTGGAAAGGACGGACCCGCCCCACATTCCCCCACCTAGGGAGAACAAACCCCGCCCCACACTCCCCATCTGGAAAAGATGGACTCTGCCCCACACTCCCTGCCTGGGGAGTGAAGGGGTCCTAGGTGTGCGGTGAGGGGTGAGGATGGCAGAGCAAACCCCAGAGCAGAGCAGAGCGCGGACCATCTCAGGACAGACCTCAGCATGGGGGGAGCCAAGGGCTGGCCCACTAGTGTGCTGGTCAGGCACACCTAGCTGTGGCTGGTCTCCCAGGCATGGTATCAACCTTGGGGGTACAGGGGCTACCCCAGAAGGCGGTGGGCAGTGGGCCAGGACAGGCCTCTCTCCTGAACGTGGGAAGGGTCTGCCTCTGGATGCCCGCTCTCAGGTCCCACCAAGTCTTCTGCCAGGGCACTCGGCAATGGCAGAAAACAAGACGGTTCCACTTGGCCCACAGACCTGGACTCGGTCCAGGCCAGAGCCGCCTCCTGCGCCCACCTCTGTGCCCCCTGCAAGCTCCTCCGTCTCCTCCAGGCCTGGAGCGCCGCCCTGCGACACAGCCAGTCCCTTCTCGCTGGGGGGGGCACCTCCAGAAAGGCTTTGTCCTGGCCCTTCGGAATGGCCCTCTAGATACGCCGGTGGGGAATCATTTCAAGTGTCTCTCCTTTCCCTGCTGCCATGTCTTGGCTTGTGTCCCCCCCCACACTCTTGAACGTGGCCACATAAACTAGCAAAGTGAAGCCGGCCCTCGGCCTTTAACCTGGGCACAGCCACGTGACAGGTCTGGTGATCCCTGCGATGTGAGAAGAGGGGTGGCCGGGAAGAGAACCCTGCTTCGGCGTCAGGACACCCCAGCTCCGGGTCTTTGCTGCACTACTGGGCTGTGTGACTCCCTCTTTAAGCCTGTCAAATGGGACGACCGACAGTTTCGAGGAGCAGGTGTCACGAAGGGACTCCACAGACAGCTCCTCTCCTTACCAGAGGCAACCTGGGCGCTGCAATGCCTAAGGCCACCAGTGCGTGTCAAAAGCAGGGCCACAGCAGACTTCAGGCATGGCCAGGGCTCTGGGGCCACCCCACCCCCAATTCAGAGTATCCCACTTGGTTCACAGCCACCGTCCTGAGACAGGAGGAGAAAAACACAGGTGGGGGGCTGGGGGGACTATGCCGGGGCCCAGGTCACACAGGGGGCAGCGGGGGAGGATGGGGATTGGGGAAGGAGTGCCTGGGGTTTGGCCCGGGGGGAGCAGTTGGTGTAGGTGCAACAGCCCCTGTGGCTGCCACACACATAGATGATAGCAGGCGGCTGAGCATGCGACTCCCTGGAGCAGCCCCAACCCCAGTCCCACAGGCTGCCCTGGTGCATGCCCGTATCCCCCTGGTGCCCTGCCAGTGGGCCCGTGGCGAGGGGGATGGTGGAGCAGAGGGGTCCAAAAGGAACAGTCACAACGCTGTCATTTAAAAGCCTCCTGGCTTCTGTATGCTGGTACCAAGCAGGCAACTATCCTGCCTTGTCCTGAAATACCCAGTGACAAGAGGCTCACTGACCACATCACAGCAGCGTCCATTCTGACACTTAGGAATCTATTCCGACAATATCCGGAACACGTCCTCAAAACTTCAAGATGCTGGGGTGGGCCTGCTTCCTCCTTGGGGTGACAGAGCGCCCTGCTGCCTGTCCTCTGGCCCCTTCCTTGCCCAGCACAGCAGTCCTGGCCCTCCCTCCAGTGTGCCAATGGCACTTGTGACAGCGAAGAAGCTAAGGCCATGGCCAAGGGTGCATCTGTGCACAGAGTAGAGCCCCCGCAGGCTGCACCCAACAGGCCCCTTGGCTAAGAACCAAGGAGTCAGAGGCGTGGCCTGCAGCACTGAGGCCAGCGGCCACCTCCCTCACGACTGGAAGCTCCCACCCCAAACCCTAAACCTTCTGGGCACTGACAGGATGCTCGGGGAGGCTCATTTTGGATATCCAGATGAAGCATAATGCAAACATCCCCAAATCCGAAACAGAATCTGAAGTGCACGACACTGCTGGTCTCCAGCATTCAGGGTAAGAGCCGCCCCACATCAAAAAGAAAAAGCGTACCACTGAGGTTGCGTATGAGTCTAGCTTCCTTCTCCCCGTCTTCATCCAGACCCTCGAGCTTCAGTTTCTTCCAGGCAAGTTCGTCCCTCTCCTGCATCTTCAGATCAGCGTGGAGCTCGGCCAGCCTCACGGGAGGAAGATGGAGCTGCAAATGAGAGCGGAGGGGCCTGTGAACCACCAGCAGGACGGACCAGGACGCAGTGGGAAACTGACCTCAGAGGAGGCTGCGACCAGGAGGTTCCGGAAGACCAGGAAGAGGGGGAGTCAGGGTCAGTGTCAGCTGGATTCAAACCCTCTCAATCAGACAAGAACACTGCATGGACACCAGTCCCTAGGCCCATCTGTATCTACGATCTGGAAACCCCAAGTCCGTCAGGGACTCCCCACTGCCAGCAGCTGCCCACTCCTGTCCAGCCATAACAGGATGCCCCGACTTTCCCACCCCAGGACTTGGGGCCAGGCATCAGGCACTTGGGTTAATAGGGAGGGAAGAAGATATCCCCTGCATTTCCCTTATACTGTGTAACTCTAAGAAAAGAAACTCAACTACAGGGAGTAAAAGTTGAAGTTTATAGAAAACTTCCACCTGACATCTTAAACACTGACAGCCAAATCTAGCACATCACATCCAGGCCGCCCTGGGACACCGGCAGCAGTGGAGCGAACAGGACACATGGAGTAGGGACCCAGGCGCTCGCCCTCCAAGTAGGTGTCAACGGCCTGCCTGCTGGACACCTGCACTTGCACCTGAGGTCCTGGGCGAGGAGGAAATAAAGAACACACACACCTAGAGGTTCTTTTTTAAAAAAAATCACTGTCATCTCAGATCCGCCACATCTTCATTTCCCAAGGACCCTTGGTCACCACCGCTCAAGTGCACTACGGTCCTGTCTTGCTGGGACGGTGCTTACACAGCCCCAGATCCTTGTGGAGCAGGAATCTGTCACCCTCTCATTTACCTGCTGGAGTAAAGCACCCTGGCGGGGCCCGGAACAAGCTGCTGTGCTGGGGCTGAGGGACTTCCCAGCCCACCTGCACCCTCCACAGCACAGCCCACGCTTCCTTCATTCCACCCTGCCCACCTAGCTCTGAGACCCTGGGTGAGCGAAGGAAGGGGATGAGGTGACCGCTGGCACACTGATTTTTGGTTTTAGACAGGATTTAGGCCAAGAGTGTCCCACGTTAGAATGACTGGGCCAGAACGCAACGTGGCCGAGGCAAGCTGTAGAATGAAAACCACTGGCCACGGCCACCATCAGAAACGCTGGCCTCTGATCTGACCCAGCCACTAACAAGCGTGCGATGGGCCACGGCCACTATCAGGAATGCTGGCCTCTGCTCTGACCCGGCCACTAACAGGCGTGTGATGGGGCAGGCGAGCCCTTCAGGGAAGCGAAGAACTCCTCTGTGCAGGGCAGGCGGCCAAGCCGTGTGAACCAGAACTTGTCATGAGATGGGACCAGGGTGCACGGAGGACAGGGTGCCGTCCTGGCTCACTGGGGCACTGCAGCCATGTCTGTGCCGTGACAGCGCACAGGAAAGGCTCTGCGGAGTCCTGTAGCAAAGGAACCACTCAGCGCTGTGGGCTGTAGATGCCCCAGTCTCTGGGCTCTCAGGCTCCTCCCTTCTTGGAGCACCTGCCTTCTCACATTCCCCCAGGGCTTGTCCTGGAGAGCCGCCCGTGGCTCTGGGCGGGAACCGAAGCTCCTGCACCTCTGAGTGTGTCTTCATGCCTGTGTCTCATCGTGCTTGTTTCAATACAGAGTCTGTTTTCCCTTAGAGGTTTGAAAGATTAACCTTCAATGTATATTTCATCACCTATCTTCTAACATAAATACAACACAAGCTAGCATCCAAAGTATGTGTGTTATACTTCAATCAAGCGCGCATCCTCGGGGGTGCCCAGCTGAGAGCCAGCCGCCTTCTAGTGTCCTGCACCCCACGCTCCCTTGCGGCAGAGCCCTCAGGGCCCTACTTCCCAGGGGCATGCGCTTCTTTCAAGGCCCATTGCACACGAAGCCAATTCTGTCTGTCTGGAGCACCCCGCACCCCAGAACCTCCTGGCCTCACTCTGCCTGTATCTAGACTGAGCCCATCGGCTCCCTGCAGCTCAGTCTGTGCTGGCCTGGGAGGAAGGAGACCCCTGGCCACAGGCCCCGTCTCCAGCTCGGCGCTGGGCTATCAGCTCCAGCCTCTGTCCCCTCAGGAGCCCAGCCTGACTCCTCAGCTGCCCTAGACACACAGGAGCCATCATCCAGGAGCTTAAAATTTAGTTCGAGACAAATTCAGATCACTGAGGCAAGTCCCCCAATAGTAAAAAGAAGACAAATGGTAGGCACAAATGAAGGGCAGGGCCTAGGGCAGAGGAAAGCCTCTGATTCTCTAGAAGGTTCTCAATCCTTGGTCGGTGGTCCCGGGGGGCAGTCTTCTGTCCAGGGTCCTCCTGGTAGACGCTCTGTGCCTCCACCTGAAAACCCTTTCCCTGGCGCCTCCGACACACCCCACCTGCATGCCTCTCATCCAGCCAGCTTCATCCACCTGCCCCTTCTCAGAGCTCCTCCCTGTGCCCCTCTGTGCCCTGAACACTTGCCTGCGGCGTCCACTGGGAGGCCCTAGGAGGACCGAGTTCTGATCTGAGCATTGCCAGCAGGAGGACCCAGGACAAGGCACCTGAGTGACGCTGAGCTCTCAGGAGGAGCAGTCTGTGCGTGGGAGCCCACACCTGCTTATCTTGTTTGTGACTCAAACTCTTAGAGGAACAGGTCTGCTTCCATCTCTACTTCCCCATGACTGCTGCTACCCGGAAGGCTTCTTACCTGCTGTGCTTGCACTGCACACAGTGACGCCGAGCCAGAAGCAGCGACCCGGGGCAGGCACTACTGGCCCACACTCTGGAGTGTGTGCCGGCAGTGAGGGCCCTGGGTCTGCCCTCCTGGGCTGCAGGGGAGAGGACACAGGTGTCCTGTGACTGCCGTGGGCCCATCCTGGCAGGCTCCATGCCCTGTAACCTGTGGCCCTCACTCAATGGCTTCCTCCTGTCTGCCTCCCCAGGGCACTGGGAGAATCAAGGCAAGATGCTCAGTGGGCTGTAAAATCTACAATCCACAGGGAAAGTCATTTTCTCCCTCTGATTCCCCAACTCTCAGACGCCAGAGGGTTTAAATCGCACACTGCGTGTCTCACAAAAATCAGCCCCCTTTTCCCGATAGAGGCTGCTGTGCTTGGCGCGGAAGGGGCCCGCCTGGCTGCACAGCCACGGAAAGCAGCCCTGGCTCCATGCAGGGGAAGACCAGAGGGCCACGTGCAGGCCCTGGACCCTACTTCTGGGTTCTTTCACCTCTGTCAAGTTAAATGTTAACGCATCAAGTTAGAACTGCGCTGTGGAAACCAAATGCAGAAAAGAACCTGTCGAACGTGAAGCAGTGGGGCAAATCATCACCAGCCAGGGGCCGCACGCAGGGAAGAAAGCCGGCTCAGCCCATGGATGACGTGGGGCCTGGAGCTTCACACCTACCTGTGTCCTCAGACACGAGCGGAGCTGGCCGTGCCCTCCTGACGAGACCCAGGGGCCCAGCACTGCTTGGGACCTCAGCAGCGGTCCTTCCTCACACAGCAGCACCTGCGTGCCAGCAGAGTGCTCTGGAACTTTCCAGCAACCTGCTGCTGCTTCTTAACGCCCCAGGAACCCCGGCCCCAGGTCCACAGCTAAGCCACAGCTGTCAACCTGCGCACAGAGCACAGTTCAGCCTGCGCAGGTTCCAACAGCACCAGGATGGCCGATGGGCCGCCTCTTCAGAGGGCACCTGAAGAGGCCTGCTATCATCCTGCTAGTGCTCACCGGCGTGCCTGCACCAGACCACGAGGCACCCACCCTGAGGAGCAGGCTGTGGCGGTAACCCCGGCCCCCTGACACGCTGCGCCTGTCTCACCACGGTGGGCGGTGCTGCACTGTTCCTTCCAGCCCAGCCACTGCACCCCAGCTCCCTCCACCTGAGCTCCGTCGACAAGGGCACAACCTTGCTGAGTTGCTGTGAGGTTGTGGGTTGGCCTGGCGGGTCCTAGGTGCCTGTGGAGGCAGCCCTGGCCTGTCTTCAGAGGCCCTTCTCAAGCAGGGGAGGTGGCCTGAGAGATGGGATGGGGCTCTGAGGGCCCCGCTCTGCAGACCTGTCTCCATTAGTCAGTCCAGGTCTGACGCCTGCACACCTGGCTGGGGGCTAGAACTCTCTCCCAGCACAGCCACCCTCTAAGCTCCTGTTATCTAGAAGGAAAACCAAGACAAATGGGCTCCATGGGCCTGCCTGCCAGAGTACCAGGCTCTCTGAAAGAGGGGAAGACAAAGACACAGAAAATCCCCAAACACCCAAACACCCTCATCACAAAGAACTTCACATTGTGTTCAGCAGAAGACTTGCCCCCAGCGAGAAGCTCAGGACTTAAGAGGGGCCAGAAAGACCATCTAGCCCAAGGCTCAGTCCAAAGCCGAGGTGGGCAGCTTGCCCTAGCACCATGCCCAGTGGACCTCGGGGGAGGTTCAGGAGACATGACCTGACCCAGGACTGAAGTTGGTCAGGTGAGCACCCTGCACCCAAGACGGTACAGGGGCAGCCTGAGGGCAGGCGTATCGCCGCCGGGGGCCTGGGCTGACACAAGCAGAGGACCAGCTGGAGGTGGCTGCAGGTAAGGCTGGGTGCAGCAGGGTGGCCTGCAGGGCAGGTGGAGGACCTGGGCCAGGAGCCAAAAGCAAAGGGAGCCGCTGGGGTTCCTGGGCCAGAGTGTGCTTCCTCAGCACCACCTCCAATCGTCAGGGAGTCTCTTCCTGGCTCCCCATTCCTCATCCTGTGGAGGAACTCTACCCACTCAACAGATGCCCAGCGCAGCGGGCACAGGGAGGCAGTCACCACATCCAAACCCAGCTGTGTCCCCAGAGTCCCTTCCTCCAAGAAGCTACCCTACTGCTCCAGCTGAGTGTTCTCCCACCTCTGCAGGCTGAAGGTCACGCTGCGGCTTGATTGCAGGACCCCAGAGCAGCTCAGGAAGGGCCAGTGGAGTTGATGCCAGGCATCAATCCCCAGCCCCACGCATGCCCTCCCCCACCAGTTTCTCCTCTGCCTTTTTGTTCCAAAGTTCCTTCTGCAAATCATTTACTTTCCCTCTCAAAAGACTCAGGAATGCTTAAATCTGGAATACTGAGACAGAGATCTAATCTAACTTCTGCATTTTAGAGGAGATACTGACAGACGCCCAGAGGGTGGGCATAGTTTGTAAAAACCCATTTCAGGAACGCGGACCACACCTAACATATGAAGTAACCTTATTTCAAAGAAGAGAGAAGCTGGCTCAGGGTCACGCAATTAGGAAGCTGTAGTCACGGGAAGCCACTGGCTGAGCGACCTTGGGGGTGCCCTTTTCCCCTCAGGGCCTCAGTTCCTTCATCTCTCAAATGAAGAAAGTCAGGTAAGCGCGCTGCTAAGGCTGACTTTAAGCATTCCCAAGGTCGCGTTTTATGCGTTCTAAATCGATCCCATCTCCTCATTTCTCGCTCAAATGAACAAGAACGGGCCTGCTCCTGGGATTCCTGCCGTCCCTGGACACGTCTTTCTACCCAACATCGTGTTTTTCTTGTTTTCCCACATAAGGAGATAAGGTGAAGGAAGAGGCAAAGGCCTGGGAGGCAAGAGACCTGTGATCTAGCCTGGGTCTGCCCCGACGCTCGGGTCAGCAGGCCGGCCAAGCTGGGGAACGCCACACTGACTCTCGGGGTGCCGGCCGCCACTGCTCCAAAGGCGTGGCTGCCGGCACGCGTCCCTATCCCGCTGCAGGAGGGGTCGGGGCGCCCCACCTGGCACTTGAAGGAGGCTGTGCCAAGAACAGGGTGCGTGGGGCGCAGGTGCCCCGGCTGCGCCCCGCCCGCCTCTGACCCCCGGGCCCCGTTCCACCGCGCCCAACAACCAGGGCCCCGGCCCCCAGGCCCCTCTCCACAGCCCCCCGAACCCCGCCCTGCCGCCCAGGGGCCGCGCTCACCCGCCGGGCCTTCTCCCACAGCTGGTTCAGCTTCTCCATGCGGAACTCCTCCTGGGACTCGCGCTTCGGAGGCGACTCGGGCTGGTTCTTCTCCCGCGAGTACTTGCCGCCGTGGCTCGCCGCGGGCCGGAGCCCAAGCAGGAACAGCAGCAGCAGCAGCAGCGCCGCGAGCGCGCGAAGGGACGACCCAACCCTCCGCGACGCCATCTTCCTCTGCGGCTGGCGCTCGGCGCAGACACCCCAGCAGGTAAAGGCCCCGCCCACCTCTCCGCCCGTTCGCCGCGCGGCTTCCCGGGAATTGTAGTTCTCCCGTGAGCGGCCGGCTGCGGTGAGGCCGCCGGCGGACTCCAGAGCCCAGGAATCCCTGCGCAGGAGCGTGCGTTTCCCGGGCAACCACGGCGCGGCCCGAGGCTGCAGAGTCGGGTTGGGGATACAACTGGAGAATGTGGGTGGCCGGGCGGGAGCAGTAACCAGGCCTCACTGAGAACCCGGAGACCGGAGACCGGAGTCCGGAACCCGCACGACTCTAGGCCCCTTTCCCCCTCTGCAGCGCAGAAAGAGCGGAAAGCCCAGGAAACGGGCCGTGTCTGGCTGAGCCTGATAACCCTCCCGCCTTGCGCGCACTGACGCCGAGTCTTGCGTGTTCGTGCCGTCGCGGGGTTAGGACGGCGGCCCCGGCCTGACGCTGAGGAGCCTGGCGCAGCCCGCTCTGCCCTCCGCGGAGCGCCTGGTCGCAGGTGGGCGCAGGCCGGGTTGTCCCGGGGGCGCACGGCCGCGCAGGCGTCCCCCCACGTCCCAGAGCCCCTTGCCTCAGCGCGCGTCTGAGGCGCCGCGTCTCGCGCCTGCTGCACTGCAGGGGTTCGCGCGCTTTACCCCAGCCCGCGACACCCTAGGAAACCCCAGAGCCCAAGTTAGCCTAGTCCGCTCATTGGGGGCCTGGCCAGTGAGTTGGGCAGTGCCCTGGTGGTAGTGCGGGAAAGGAGGGAGACAGACGGCAGCTGGGCCGCTTTGGGCTCAGAGAAGGGCCAAGGGGAGCTCCTCTGGCAAGAATGATCTGAAAAGGCCTCCAAGGGCGGGCGGGATTTTACCTCGGGCGGGAGAACTTTCCAACTGGAGGAGCAATGACGAAGTGGGTGAAGAGAGCCTGGGCATCTTGGGAGAAATCAATGTTAATTCATTTCCTTTGAGGGGGTGGGAACAGGGGCTCTGTCATCTAGGCTGGAGCGCAGTGGCACGATCATGGCCCACTGCAGCCTCGACCTTCAGGCTAAAGTGATCCTCCTGCCTCAGCCTCCTGAGTAGGGACTACAGGTTAGAGCCACCACCCCCAGCTAGTTCTTTAAATTTTTTGTAGAAATTAGGTCTCTCTGTGTTGCCCAGTCTGTTCTCGAACTCCTGGGCTCAAGCAACCCTCCTGTCTTGGCCCCGCAAAGTGCTGGGATTACAGTTGCGGGCCACTGGGCCTACCCTAGTTTACTTTTACATTGTGTCTTACGTTGTTCCGGGAAGATCTCAGGTGCCTGGAATCAGGGTGATTTGTTCTGGGAAGATCTCGGGTGCCTGGAATCAGGGTGATGTGTTCCGGGAAGACCTCAGGTGCCTGGAATCAGGGTGATGCGTTCCGGGAAGATCTCAGGTGCCTGGAATCACGGTGATGCGTTCCGGGAAGACCTCAGGTGCCTGGAATCAGGGTGATGCGTTCCGGGAAGATCTCAGGTGCCTGGAATCAGGGTGATTTGTTCCGGGAAGATCTCAGGTGCCTGGAATCAGGGTGATGCGTTCCGGGAAGACCTCAGGTGCCTGGAATCAGGGTGATGCGTTCCGGGAAGATCTCAGGTGCCTGGAATCAGGGTGATGCGTTCCGGGAAGATCTCAGGTGCCTGGAATCAGGGTGATTTGTTCCGGGAAGATCTCAGGTGCCTGGAATCAGGGTGATTTGTTCCGGGAAGATCTCAGGTGCCTGGAATCAGGGTGATGCGTTCCGGGAAGACCTCAGGTGCCTGGAATCAGGGCGATGCGTTCCGGGAAGACCTCAGGTGCCTGGAATCAGGGCGATGCGTTCCGGGAAGACCTCAGGTGCCTGGAATCAGGGCGATTTGTTCCGGGAAGATCTCAGGTGCCTGGAATCAGGGTGATTTGTTCCGGGAAGATCTCAGGTGCCTGGAATCAGGGTGATTTGTTCCGGGAAGATCTCAGGTGCCTGGAATCAGGGTGATTTGTTCCGGGAAGATCTCAGGTGCCTGGAATCAGGGTGATGCGTTCCGGGAAGACCTCAGGTGCCTGGAATCAGGGCGATGCGTTCCGGGAAGACCTCAGGTGCCTGGAATCAGGGCGATTTGTTCCGGGAAGATCTCAGGTGCCTGGAATCAGGGTGATTTGTTCCGGGAAGATCTCAGGTGCCTGGAATCAGGGTGATTTGTTCCCGGAAGATCTCAGGTGCCTGGAATCAGGGTGATTTGTTCCGGGAAGATCTCAGGTGCCTGGAATCAGGGTGATTTGTTCCGGGAAGATCTCAGGTGCCTGGAATCAGGGTGATGTGTTCCGGGAAGATCTCAGGTGCCTGGAATCAGGGTGATTTCTTCCGGGAAGACCCCGGCTGCCTGGAATCAGGGCGATGTGTTCTGGGAAGACCCCGGGTGCCTGGAATCAGGGTGATGTCCTGCTCTCCTTTGCTGCTCTCCTAGTATTTTTAGAGCCATCGTTTCGTTTATTTTTTCCAGCTGTTGTTTCAGTCAGGCGGGTAAATTCAGCCTGTTACTGCATCTTAGCTGGAAGCACATGTTCCCCATATGGGATATGTGAGGGAAGGGAGGCAAAGGAACCCCCCGGAGGGTGGCAGAGGGAGAATGACCTCTCGAAGTGACTCCAGAGACAGAGCAAACGCAGTCATTGCCATCATCCCATGTTTTCACACCTCAGCACCGACTGCCCAGGTGAACCTGGCCTAGCCTCTTACCTGTAACTGTCTTCCCCTTTCGTTCCCTGGCTCCTGCTCCTCTCCCCATCTCCTGGGGCCTAAAATCAGAGGGTACCTGTTCTACCCCACACACATTTTACTCTGACCTCACTCGAGAGCTACAGGTGGGTCGTGGTCGGCTTAGAAGGAGACAGTCCACATTGGCCCATCCCCCTGTAAGCATGTCCCTGTTGGTCAACTGGAATGAATGTGGTCCTCACTGCAAATGTTCCAGCTCTTTGAATCCTGCCCCCAGTGTCTCCAGAAAGGGCCATTATTAACCCACAGGAAATGGAAGCCGGACTGGGAGGAGAGTCTTCTGGGATCCTACATCTTACAGTGGTGTGGGGTCCTAGGAGCCCTTTTCTTACCCAGCCCAGTTTCCCAGATAGCTAAGCAATATTGTACGCAAGGCTACGTACACAGGCGATGAATCTAAAGAAAGGCCGGGTGAAGGCTGGAATGGAGGCGTCTGGGCTGGGGGAGGAGGGAGGCTGCGACGGGCAGCACAGGCTTCTAGAGTGCTGCCCAGGTGGTTTTCTTCACTAGGTGGTGGGCACTCAGGCCTGAATTTTTCCTGATCTTTACATTGTCCATATTTTGTACACTCCCCCGTGGGCATTAAACATTTCAGACTCAGGCTGGGCGCGGTGGCTCATGCCTATAATCCCAGCACTTTGGGAGGTCGAGGCAGGTGGATCATGAGGTCAAGAGATCGAGACCATCCTGGTCAACATGGTGAAACCCCGTCTCTATTAAAAATACAAAAATTAGCTGGGCACGGTGGCGCACACCTGTATTCCCAGCTACTTGGGAGGCTGAGGCAGGAGAATTGCTTGAACCCAGGAGGCGGAGGTTGTGGTGAGCTGAGATTGCACCATTGCACCCCAGCCTGGGTAATAAGAGCAAAACTCTGTCTCAAAAAAAAAAAAAACAAAAACATTTCAGACTCATCCATCTTTGAAAATATCACAGTGGTTAATGTAGGCAGTACAGGTGCCAGGCGTGTGGCAGGGACTCCAGCTGAAGGCATGCTCTTCTCTTGGGCTCCTCCAGGGCTGAATGTTCATTCTTCACCCCTGCACCCGGCACCTCCCATGCCAGCCCATGTCTGTAAGTGGTGAGGGGAAGGTGTGTGAACAGAGACAGACATGGTCCTACAGGAGCTCAGAGGCAGGGCGCTCAGCCTTGGTGGGGATGGATTGTGAGGCTGGCCGGTGCTGAAGTGGAACGTGTTGCTTACTAGAGCAAAGGGAGCTGTGCTATAGGACCATCTCTCAGAGCAAAACAAAATGAGTCTCTTGGGAAGCCTGGCACCGAGGACTGGCCAGCTTTCAGAAGCAGGAGTGCTTAGCCTGACTTAGGTGCAGAAGGGCCTTGCTGCCTTGGCCTGACTGCAGTGGGGGCTGTCCCTGACTGGCTGGCCTTCAGAAGCATACAGCCTTGTCGTTGACTGAATGGGGCTTTCATGCCACTGCAGCCAAAGAGCAGTTTGTTTTTGTCCTTGAGTGTGGACTGAATAAACTGTTATTCTTTGCAGGCAAAGGCAGGAAGCACAGGAACAGGTAGTGCCAGGTGGCTGCAGGCAGGTGGTCTGGCTGGAGCTCAGTGCAGAAACAAGGCGGTGGTGGGGAGTGAGGCAGCCCCATGGGACTGCAGTGCTGCTGGAAAGACGATTCCACCCAGGGTGGTGGGGGCCACAGAGTGATCCTGAGGGGAGATTTACACAGAGAGGCGTTTGAGGAAAAGCACAGAAACCAGTGGGAATGCTGGTGGTCTCTGCCGGAGGAGAGGTGACAGTGACCTGGACGAGATAGAGACACCGAGGTGGCGAAGAAGGACAGGCCATGTGAAGGTGGAAGGGACAGAATTTGGTGACAACAGTCCAGACTGATGCCCAGGTTTCCACTCAGGGAGACCAGAAGGTGGGCAGGGCCAATTCCACTGCCAGGTCTCCAGGGAGAGCACGTTCGGGAGAGACATGAGAGTCCAGGTCCCTGTAGGATGGACATGGAGCCTTCCTGGGGCATTAACTCCGTAAATGTGGCAGTCAGAGGCAGAGGGGTCCGGGGGAAAGGAGAAAGAGCTCTGGGGACCCCCCCATGAGGGCATGTGGGAAGGGGATGGAGTGCTCTGGAGGCAGCTAGCACGAGGGTGCGAGAGGGAGCTTGCAGAGGAAGCAGAGGCAGGGGCCAGGGCAAGGGAAGATGCCAGCGAGGAGCTGGCCTGCAGATTCCAGGGTCCAGGAGGCTTGGAGGAGTGCTTGTTCGGGGGGCGGGGGGGGTGTGGGGCCCTCACAGACTGAACTCAGGGAGGCTGGCGTGGATACCCGTGGCCTCTGCCCTTGCAGCAACCTCTGTCTTGGGTCAGGTTTCCCGGAAGCAGAGCCGAGATGGAATTCCTGTGGAAGTGTTTATAGGGCAGCTACTCCTAGGAAAGAGGAGTGGGGGTAGAGAGCAGGTGCAGAGAGCGGAGCCAGGCTGTGACTGCTTCCTCCTGGTTGGGTGAGGGGAGCTCAGGAGCATTGTACCTCACAGTTGTCTCTGCCTTGAGGCTGGGACCATTTTGTGCCTCCTCTCCCTGCTGGCAGCAGTCAGGCTCTGGGTTGTGGGGGAGGGCGTGACCTCCTGGGTGGGGAAGGTCCCACTTGGCCGAGGGCGATGAGCCTCCGGATCTTCTCTGCCAGCCGTCATCGTCTGGAGACAAGTGGGACCCCACGTGCTTGAGGAAAAGCAACCCCTTCCCAGCCTCCAGGCATCTACCAGCATGCAGGGAGGGTCCTTTGAGTAAGACCACCCTCCACTGCCTCCTCTGCTGGCAGACTCCATGACTGCCA